AATGCTGATGACTTGGCATGATATTTTCCTCTTGTCTCGCAGACTCCTATGTCATGTCAACAAGCACGATAACTCCATCCATGATACGAGACATCATCATACATGCATGCATGCATGCATGCATACACATACATAAATAATAACGATAATGGTTTAAAAAAGGTTTAATTAAATTAAAGAGAAGTAGGTTTTGTTAGCCTTTCAGCGTGTTGAAGTTGAAAGATTAAAAATATATATATAAAAAAAGTTGTAGTAAAAAAAGTTAGAAGATAAATGGCGGTGGACAAGCCGCCTTTAAATTATTATAATATTTTGGTTGAAAGCTTCGATTTTTAAAATAGTTTGGTCGGAACATATTTTGAGAGGGGTTTGGTGAGGTGTCTTGTTGTGGTGTACGTCTGCCATTGGAGTTCTACTTGTTTGTTTTCCTCTCAATTATTGATCCCATGGTTTTGTGTTGAGCGGCTATTTGCGGTAAACGTTCATGTACGGCAGTTTTATAATACGATTAAAAAAATATGTTATCGATTTTATTATTATTTAAATAATAAATTCGATAAAAAATAATTAAAAATATTATTATTTTTATCGGTTATAATTATCAATATAGGTAAATACGATATAAAAAATTTCGTCAGAAAATAATATTTTAATTAACGTTTTACCGAAAATATTATTTTTTACCGAATTCGTTTATCTATATCGGTAATTAATAATAATAACAAAATTAATAAAAATAATAAAATTTTCAATTATTTTCTATCGATTTTATTATTTAAAATAATAACAAAACTATTAACTCTTTTTTTAATCTTGTTGCACCGTAGAATTTTTCGCCTTCCTTTCTCCTCGAACGTATTTTTTATTAATATTTAAATTCATCTCACTTAGTTTAAAAATTATTATCTAAATAAAATATTGTATTTTGATGAAAATTATTTAATATATAAACTTTTAAATATAAATATAGAATCTATAAACCTATAAATCTCAGTTATGCTTCTATATTTTTACTCCTAAAATCTTTTAAAATTTAATATTTATTTGGGTAAAATATATAAATAGTCCACAAATTTTTAGGATGCTTACATTTCGGTCACCCAATTTTTACAACTTGCATTACCATCACCAAATTTTTAGTTCCTTTTCATTTGTCTCTACCGTTATCTCCTTTAATTTTTTATTGATATGGAACTTAACTGCAGTTAACCCTCCCTCCTCCTCCGTCTTAATTTTGAAGAGACCGTCAAGAATCAGCATTTCTTCGCCGATAAAAGGTGGATGGTCCCTCTTGCCATTGCTGGTTCCATAGTTATCTCCAGCCTCGTAGAAAACCGTTAATTACTCCATCCTTTGTTCGCTCGCCAAAGCCAGATCCATGGACATTGACAAGTACTCTGCCACGCCGGTCCAACTCCAAGCCATCATCCACAACGCCACGTCACATATCGTCCCCAAGCAGAACTTCCAAGAAACCTCGGTAACCTTCGACGTGCTCAAGAAACGATCTCCTTGCAATTCCTCGTCTTTGGACTCGGCTACAACTCACTCATGTGGACTGCACTCAATCCCAATGGCAACACTATATTCCTGGAAGAGGACCAGAAATTGGTCCGGACTGTGCTCAAAGACGCTCCGAGCATCCACGCGCACGCCATGAAGTACCGTACGCAGCTCAAGGAAGCGGACGATCTGCTAGCCCATTACCGTTTGGAGCTGAGCTGTTACCATTCGAAAGCTTACTTGCGCGAAAACAACAAGTTCAGGCTTGCCTTGACGGGGTTTCCCGATGAGTATTACGATACCAAGTGGGACCTGATCGATGCGCCGCGTGGATGGTACCCGGAGGCGCCGGGGAGGATAGCGACGATATTCTCGACGGCGGTTATGGCGAGAAACAGGAAGGGGTCGGGCGTGACACGTGTGTTCTTGCACGATGTTAATCAGCGAGTGGAGAAGGCATTCGTGGAGGAGTTCTTGTGCAGGAAGTACTTGGTGAAGAGCGTGGGGAGGCAAGAAATGATGAATGAAGATCTTTTAGCTCGTCAATACCAATTCAAGTTGTGGGTAGAAGAAGGAAGCGGAGGAAGTAGGGTTAACCGCAATTAAGTGTCGGACGGTAGAATAAAAATAAAAATAAAAACTAACTAGTGATGGTAATATAAATTTTAAAAGTTAAGTGATTAAAATCCTAAAAAATTTACTATTTATATGTTTTACCCTATTTATTATTAAGTTATAAACATACCAACTCGATTCCCACCACCCTGAGTAGTGAGTATTAGTTGACTTTCTACAAATGCGGGAAGGAAACGATCACTCCACTTATTAAGTGGGAAGTGCACCCATATTATTTTATAACATCACAACATATAATAGTTCAACTTTATTATACATCAGATGAAAGGCCAAGAATTTTGTCCATTACATGTTTTTATTTTAACTGCTACTAATACATTCATATTCTTATAATTATAATTATAATTATAATTATAATTAATTAATTAATATAATATAATATAATAATTTATGTTTACACTTAATATACTCGTCTAGCTATGTCTATAAAGAAAAATCATAACACATTTAAACTGATATCCTACTCATAATATTTGTACTATGTAAATTTACCTTACCATTAACCATAATCATTTTTAAAAAGCGCGTCCGGTAAATCATGCTTGTATGAATATGTGATAATATAAGTTGAAAAATATCGTAAAATATACACATTTGCACGTGTACAGACCAGACTAAACGAAAATGATAACTCTAGTGTATGAGTTTTATCTTCAATCACTTGATGGGTACATGTTTAAAAATATTATACTTAAATACATGGAAAAAGACTGAATATCTAAACAATGTAGAATTTGAGAATTCAATTGTCAAACTTATTGGTTTTGAGATTTTAAAGATAGGTCATGTACTTAATTAAACCTAGATCGTGAACTTTATCAACTATTGCCCTCTGAATATACTCAGGATCTTAGTATCCAAAACTTTCTCTAATTATCATACTAACACGAGTCTGATTAAGTTCGGAATCTATTTTTTGATAGCTCAAAGTCAATAACTTTAACAATTAGATTCTCAAATCTCACATTATTTAAATATCGATTTTTATATATTTAATATAGTCTTTTAAACATGAACTTATTGAGTGATAGAAAACAATACCCAATTATCATACTAACGAGTCTGATTAAGTTCGGAATCTATTTTTTGATAGCTCAAAGTCAATAACTTAACAATTAGATTCTCAAATCTCACATTATTTAAATATCGATTTTTATATATTTAATATAGTCTTTTAAACATGAACTTATTGAGTGATAGAAAACAATACCCATGCACGTGTGTTGTTGTTGGTTGGCCCGTACTTGTGTCTTCGACACATATTGAGTTTTTTTCTTTCTTTTTGTACATAAATTGAATACATTTTTTTCACATTTTTTACATTTTCATTCTTTCTTTCATTTGTTTTGATATTTGTCAAAAAGATTTAATTTAAAAGTTAATCTACAATGAATGTCGCTTCAAAAAGATAATATTTTTACTGGCGATGTTCAATAAAAAGAAGCTCATTAAAACTATATTTTTTAATATCTATAATTTACCTTCTCAAATATAAGTTATTTGTTGTGGGAGTCGATCAACATCGAGGTAGAAAGATATACTTTGTGCATTGCATCAGAAGCTATAAAATTAGAAAAGAATGTAAAAAGATGAAACAGAAAACAATCGAGTTGAATAAAACTGAATTACATTCACAGATTTAGATAGTAAAGACGAGGCAAAGGCCAAAGCAAATCAGATGATTCCCGTTCCATGGATGGTGGGAACCTCAAAATCAAACGATCGTTACTCTAGATACTGCCCGAAACAATCAGACCATACAAATAAGCCACGTGAAACTTTCGGAGGCGGAGAATTTAGCGGGCAGCTTCAACGGGCAGATCCGAAAATATCTGGCTGCCAGACACACCAGCTCTAGATATTTTTGGGGGTTCCCCAATCAGATCAAACCAAACCCCAAACAGCCAATGAGGACAAAGCAATAGATATTTACATGTTATGGGTGCCGATTGCCGTTTTGTTTTATCCCCATCCGCCCATCCGCGAATGCATACATGATATACATCGCATCCCATGTGATGTGACAAGTCGAGCGGAGATTCGGTGAGAGCGTGTTTAGATTACTTCGAATCGTGGCTTTCTTTAATTGGATTGTTTTTCCTTCTATAAAAAATCGACATGAAAAGTATGAATTCATGCTTTTAATTGGATTATTTCATGATGAAAAGTATTATGTATTTAATCATGCTTTTGTTTATATTCTTTTATATGTTATAATAATATATATAATTATTTTGATATACACAAGCTACCTATTTTAATTCTAAATCATACAATCTAAAACACTAGCTCTGAAATCGAAAATTCTAAATTCTAAAATCCTAAATTTTAAACATAAACCCTAAAAAAACCATAACCAGACAACAGGATTGAGGGTTAAGGCAGAGGTAATGTAACTAATCATGGATGGGAACGAGGGGAGCAAAGCACATGATAGGCAAGAAAATCAAAATGACAATCAGAAGGGAAGTAAGATAGGGTCACTGAATAGCACTTAAAAAAATTAAGTAGAACATACTATAAAGTGAAAGATAAAAAAGATTTGGACAAATTTATCAACATATCAGTCACCTAGGCAAAAACAAAAATGATATATGTCCGTCAGTTGAAGTTAATATTGATCGAGTTAAAACGGCTTCTGATTTTCCGGGCGCTTTTTAGCCAGCATTTCCTTCGTTTTTTCAAGAACACCGAAGAAAATCGAACCACCGATCCCTGTCCACAGTACCCTTGGTCCCATACCCTGCACAAAACAATGGCAGAACTCAAAATAAATAGAGGTGAATCTGCTGCAGCTTTCACAATTTCAGGCGCCAAGACAATTATGTTTCCGACTCCAACATGATCTTTCAGTGTTTCTTACAATCAAGAATCCCTTTATACTGCTTTGATGATCCCTGAAAGAAAAAAAGAGAGGCATAGATTTGAAGTAGGATGAAACTCTAATGCCTTTCACCAAACAAGAAGGTAAAGGTAGTTGACCTGGACCATTAATCGAGTTTTTATAACGTCAAGAGGGGTCGTCACAGCTCTAGTTATGGCACCTGAATATGGAATTATGATCAACATCATAATTCTAGCAATAAGAAAATAAGAATGTATGTTTTCTGGAATTATGATCAACATCACAATTCTATCAAAAAGAAAACAAGAATGTATGTTTTCTGGAATTATGATCAACATCATAATTCTAGCAATAAGAAAATAAGAATGTATGCTTTCTGGAATTATGATCAACATCTACTCCAAGCCGGAAGTAATAATAATACCCTATTACCAACTCTAAATGTAAAACAAATTTAAAATATACATATAATAGATATCTTAAACTGCTCAATACAATTTACCAGCAAAAGCAACAATTATGGCATTCTCAGGATCATTCAGGTCTCTTTGTGTCTGTAAACGTTACAGAATTTTTTTTAAAAATAGTTTACCACAAATGAAAAACGACAAAGGATACTTATTCAGGTAAACAAGTCAATACTGATAATAAACACTAGAAAACTGAAGTCCCCTCAAGCATGCTGCCCTGGGCTAAGGCCCATCTGACACATGTATTGGGCTGGGCCTGGGCCCTAGAATTTCCTAAGTAAGGTGCAATATGTACTAGTGTTTGTGCATATAAAATAAGCTCAGAATGTATGATATTATGATAATAAACAAAAAATGTAAAAACTGAGAAGTAGAGAGTTTGATTTCATCCCCTTTTTTCACAATTAAAGTACAATTAATGAAAAAAAAAAAGATTGAAAAGAACTTCAATCAAACAGGGTTTCTAGCTGCGCCTATCGCTTAATAAAAAAGGGAGCATGGGCACACTAGACGTGCACCTGATAAACATGCCATGTTTTAAATGATATGAGGTGCGTTTGTTGTCTAAGACACATTGCCTAAGAGCACCTAGACGCATGCCTTTAACAACAACAAAAATGATAGAAAACAAAATACGGAAAGAGTAAAACGAGGTTTCAAAATATCTAAGAGTAAGAGTAATATTTCAGTGTCATCATTTACACAATAATTGAATTCAATTTAAACATGGAAGGATGCTGTTGCAAACTGATACTTTAGGGGTGTGCAAAAATATCCGATCCAAATAATCCTATCTGTTTATCTGATGGTCCGATCCAATTTTTTTTGGGATAATTCGGATTGGATATCTGATAAAAATTTTGGATAGTCGGATAGCATACAGATCGAAAAATTCTCTATTTCGGATTATCCGAATATCCGAAAAATAAATTTTACTGGTACTCGTCTACCAATTTGCTGTTTGTTAAAAATAAAACTTACCAAATGAGCAAAAGCACTCAGGTTTTCAGGAAAGGTTTTCAACAACTTCTGCTTTGCAGGTTCATATACACCAAGAAATATAGCTGAAGCCCTGTGGATAAGAAAGTCTATCAGCTAAAATGTCAATAAACCAAAAAATAAATTTGTGAGAACAGTAGAGAGCTATTAAAGAGCTGCAAAATTGAGGGTGCAAAAGTGGTGAATCAATTAGGAGAAAAAGGATTTCTGGAATTGTAGAATCAAGGTTTGTGGAGTTGAAGTTACCCGACAAGCTTTTATTAGTTTCACAAGAAATATAAATGGAACTATACTTTCAAAGTACATATGGTATGTCTAACTTAAACCTCATTTTGGGCATGAAATAACAAGGATTATACAATTTGCAACAAAGATACTTACGGCAAAACGCCAGCAAGGTTTCCACCCAATCCAGAATAAAGACCCTTTAAAATAACTTTTCTTCCACCACGGGATGCCTACCATAAGAACAGCGGATTATGGACACTTAATCACAGGTATTAGGGTAAATGCAAAAGCAGACGAGCTAGCAAGGCAAGGGATGGGGTAGTAAGAGTTGATCGTGTAGGGGGAGGTGTTTATCTTGGTAATCCTACCAGATCCTTAAGATGGAGTGGGTTTTCTGGTTTAGGAGAGGTTTAAGCTGTTGTAATATTAACTGCTGCTTAAAAGTGATTTTGGGTCGAAAAAATTTAGGCGTTTTTCAAAATTTTCTTTCTTTATCACTTTCGAATCCTTTAATGGCGAGTCAGTTGAGAAGATATGGTGGGAAGAATTGTGCTACAGTTATTATTTTCAATATTCCAGATTGTCTTCATTATCAAGGTCTTAGGTTATTGTTCGATAAATATGGCGAGGTGGTCGATTCTTTCATTCCTAGCAAAAGAAGCAAGGGAGGTAGTCGGTTCGGTTTTGTCCGATTTTCTAGAGTGGAGGACGCGAGAAGGGCTATCCTCTGTGCCGATAGATCTTGGATTCAAGATAAAAAGGTTAGAGTGTTCATGGCGAGATTTCAACCTCGTGATGTTTTCTGGAGGAAAAAGTATTCTAGTTCAAATTCAGTTGTGGTCAAGAGCAGTGAGGCGGATGTCAAAGAGGCGCCAATTATTGGTGTAGTTGACGAGGATAAGCTCATTACTCTTAGAGATTGTTTGGTTGGTTGGAGTAGAAAATTTTTAAAAATGAAAGAGCTAGCTGCTATTATGCACAAGGAAGGCATATTCGGCCCGAAAATTATGAGGTTAAGTGGTTTAGCTATTTTGATTATATTTGAAGATGAAGAGAGTAGGGACTATACCCTAAAAAATCATATTGGAGCGTTGAATAAATGCTTTGCCAAAGTGGATCTGTGGTCGGAAAACTTTCGGTGTAGCAGTCGACGGGCATGGTTATCGTGTAGAGGGATCCCTCCGTTTGTGTGGTGCCATTCAACTTTCAAGAACATAGCAGAAAAATGGGGAGCTCTTATCTCCATTGACGAAGGAACCGTTAATCCTGGCTCGTTTGATAGGGCCTGTTTTCAGATCATTACGAACCGCAAAGATCGATTGGAAGAATCCTGTGTCTTGAAAGTTGGTGAACAGTCTTTTACAATTTTTGTTTCTGAGTTTGAACCTTGCTTTAGCCCAGATTCCGTCTGGATTGATTCGTCTCTGTTGGAAACGTCAGTAGCAGCCCCGTTGCCCACGGAGGGGGAGCTTTGTGGTGTCTCGCCGTTTAAGCCTTCCGAGTTGGTGGTAGATGCTGGAACGATTTCTGGAGTTAATCTTGATTCCACTAATATTAAGGAAGTTCAGCTAGAAACTCGAGCGTGTTTTGAAGGCATGCATTCTGGTGGTGGTATGTGTGGTTCAGGTGCCGAGGATGTAGGAAATGGTCCATGTTCCGATGAGGTAAGGGCTGTGGAAGTTGTGTCCCCGACAGTCCGTTACGGTACAGCTGCGCATGGGTCTGATTGCCAGTTGAGCGGCACTTTTAATTCTTTGGAGGTAGCTAGGGGGCGCAAGTGGGGACTAATGTGCATGGGCATAAGCTGTCGTTTTGTGATAACCAGACAAACAGTAATGGGGGAAGCTACGCTCGGTTCAGTTGGCCAAAGGAGTGCTGATTTTAATATTTTGAAGGAAGCTAGTGGGGTTCATGTGAGATCAGGTTTGGAAGTGTGTGATGCTAGAGTTGATAGTGCAATTTCGAAAGATGTGCAGCACATGTCTCTTGCTGTTAGTGGGAGGCGTTTGGCTCCAATTAGGAATGTTGATTCTCGGCAGACCAAGGTTTTATTAAATAGTAATAGGTTCTTGGAGTTCCCGATTGTTTGTTCGGTTAGTGGGACAGCTGTGCACGAGGATCTGCCTGCTGGTCAGGGGATGGGGCTGTTGAATTCCGAGAAAGTGGTTGGGCGTCAGAAAGAAACAGCTTTGGAGGAGAGAGAAATGCTATATTTAGTTCTCTCCGAAATTTTCAAGAAAAATTCTCTGCTCATCAAAGGAAGCCTCGTTAAAGTCAAAGCAAGAAGTCTCAGAGGAAGGTGCATGGAGAGGGAGTTTTTTCTGATCTTGAAGGCTCTATAGTTGGAGTTTTGGATGGTCTTTGTCGACATGTCGAGCTAGAAGAGGCAGTTAGGCAGAAGAGGCAGTAATGCGGAAGAAGAGTCTTGTACTCGTTGAGTGGCAGTTCAGGGCTTTTTGTTTTTGATTTTGGATTTTATGGTTTGAGTTAGCTATGATTTTCGGCTTCTGCTGTAATTGTTTTGTTTTTGTGTTGGTTTTCGGGTAGTTAAGGTGTTAATTCTGGTCAGTCATTTTTGTGACTGTCGGTTTAGCTTAGTTGAATTTCGCTGTGTTAGTGTTGCTGTTTAGGGTTCTTCTGGCTGTTTTGGGTTGTTTGTTTATGTTGGGGGAGGCTTTTCTGGTTGTATCTTATGTTTTCTATGGTTATGAAATCTTAAGGCACTCTTTTCCTCCTTCCGCTGATTAAGGAGCTTTTCTACAAGCTCTCGTAATCAAGAAGGAAGTTTTTAACGAGGCCTTCAATTCCTATAAAAAAAAAGCTGTTGTAATATTCCTTTCTTGTAATGTTTGTTGTGTGCTAATGAAATCAGAGGTACTATTTTCCTCCTTCAGCTACTTTTCAGATACTTGATAGTATTCTGGAAAGCATGAAGGGGGTTTTTAATGAGACCTCCAACTTCTATCAAAAAAAAAAAATCACAGGTATTCAAAGAGGAACCAGGTATTGTAAGTAAACGTTAAATAAGGCCAGATGTTTAAGAGTATACAGAAGGCTGGCTGACAAAAAACTAAGGAAAAACATTGTGTAAGAACAGTCCTTAAATAAAAACCATTTCTGTCTTCTGCCCTTAATAGCATCTCTATATAACCGATTCCAAAGAGAAAAAAATTACAGTAAGGTAAACCTTGAGTCATAGCAATAGACAGTCAAACAAAACAACTTTATATAGTAAAACACTAGACATGGTGCTTCATCATTCAAAATTAACAAGTAGAACATATGAAAGAGGATTTATCTCGCAACAAGTACAGGAAATGATTAAATAATGAACCATTAATTCAACTAACCTGGAGTCGAGTTTTTATTGTATCAATTGGGTACAGAGCTGCTTCCACAACACCACCAGCAGTAGCTCCAGCTATGATACTTTCTGCAAAAATGCATAAAAAACCTTTAGAAAGATCTGCTATTCTGCTTCCAACCATGATTAAATAAGGGCATTTCCTACAACTGACCAAGAACTTGGGGAAAGTCCCGCAATGCGGGGACCAGATTCGATGCCATAGAAGGAATTCATGACACGAGCTCAAGATGTAGAACACTCAAGCAGTGATTTCTCAAAAACAGAAAACAAAATATCGACCAAATTTTCAAGAAAAATATTGCCAATGGGACAAATGTATGCTCTGCTTTTCCGTCGAAACCAAAAATTGCATTGTAAATGATCTCTTGAACAATCTATATTTTCATGTAAACAGTTCGACCACTTAGCAACAACTAGCTATAAAGAAGCTGCATTATCATGAAAAATAAGCAAACTACTGTAACTTATTTGCATAACTTCATTTAGAGCAACTCCAGCGCTGCGCTGGAGTGGAATTAAATCTCCACTTTGGAGTCTCCAACGCTGCGCCAAATTCATCTCCACTTTGAAGAACAATGAAACTGCATGCTACATGTAGCGTGCTACTGTAGCAACACTACAAAAAAGTTTTTTCTTTTATGATTTTTGGTTTTTGGTTTTTGTTTTTGTTTTTTTATTTTATTTTGTTATTTTCCTTTTAATTTGTGGAATGAATATTCTAATTCGAAGAATTAAAATAAATAATTATGTAACTTATGTTTTTCGTATTATTATTATTAATTGTAATTTTCTTATTTATTTGTATTTTCGCAATGTTATTTATGAATGTTTTATTTATGCTTTTTATCTTGATATTTTTTAGAAATGTATATGTTCTATTTTATATTTACAAAATCAATATTATAATAGTTAGATATTGTGAATAAAGTAGAGTTGGTGGTAATGTAGAGATAGTGCTACAGATGAATTATTGTTTCATCTTTAGAGTAGAGATAGATATGTTGTAGAGTAGAGATGAGGGCTGGAGATGGCCTTAGACTTTCATTCCAAGTTATTTAGAGCCAAAATGGGAAAATCATTTGACCTCATATTAAATTCCTTATATTAAATTGGCTTGAAAGTTTAGAACAAAATTACATTTGACCTCATTCATGTTTCAACTTTCGAACTACTTGAACAACTTTTCCTTGCGTTCCTAATTATAAGTTATAGCACGTGTCTGAAAGAGCACCAATTACAGTTTGCTTCAAGACATAGTTCTAACAGTAAGCACACAGTGATGAATCTCAAGCATTAAAAGAGACTGGGAACAACAACCAAAGAAAATATGAGTAATTATAGACCGGTATTACCATAAAAAACACCAACAATATCAAATGGATTGTCCTCTCTTGCACGAACTGAATCCAGCAACCTATTTTCTTGTTTCGGAAAATCACATTTCTTATATTTCAATCCATCTGCAAAAAAACAGCATTTGTTTAAAAACTGGCAAAACAACAAACAGCTTAAAATAGTCACAAAACCAAAAAGATTTCATGAAAAATTAACACATTTTAAAAAGAGAACAATGTTTCCAGATTTGGGTTCTCCTGAAGGATCCAAATTTATCATTGATCAAATTGGAACTAACCCAGAATGAAAACTAAAACAAATAGTCAAATGATAACCAAATTTCCTGATTTGGGTACTCTTAGAGAATCCAAATTTATAGTTGATAAATTAGAACCGAAATGGAAAGGCAAAAACACGAAGAACAAAACAATTCAAGTTTAGAAGATAGTTAAAAAGAAAAGAGCAACCAGATGAGATTTTGTGAGAAATTGACACGTTAGACGACAAAGATTGAGGATCCATTACCTCAGATTGCGGTTATTCTACAACCTTTTTTAGTGGCGGCGATAACAATGGATAGATTTGGTTGTGTGTTTAGGACTGCGCAACCGGCAACGAGGGAGAAACAAAGCTACTGATCAAAGGGTTTTCGCTGGGGTTTGGTGTAACTTTTTATTAAAATACGAATCGAATCGAATGAATCTAATCGAATCGATTTTGCTGATTTTTAAAATTAAAATTGAAATGGAATGTTATAAAAATCATGGTTTTTAGTTCAATTCGATTTGATTTTACCATTTTTGATTAAACTCGCCATAAATAGATAAATGTAAAGCTTAAATAAAGTGAAAATATATTAATTTAAATGTAGATTTTATTTATTTAAATTTGTCTTATAATAAATTCAAAATAAACTTGTTTCGGATACTTATTTTCTTTTATCTTTTTAATTCGATTTGATTTGATTCAAACAGTTTTCATATGAAAAAATTTAAATTAAACTAAATTATATATTTATTTTTTAAAATTGAACCTAAACCAATCCGCAAATTAAAAAATCAAACCTCATAATCAGGTTTGAATTATTTTTTTTAAATTTCTCAAATGGCTCAACCCTAAATTTTATGAAATCACTCTTATTTTAATTTTATAGAGATGGTAAAAAAGAGAGTAAATCAATGTGTTCCGATTCCGAACCGTTCTAATTGTATAGAGATTAATTTTTTTAAAATTTAATTTTTAGTTTGAGTATAATTTTCTATTGAAATTTTTTATCTAAAATTTATGTTTTATTGATTAATATATTATATATTTATTAAATTAATATTCGACACCAATTCAATAAAAAAACTTACTTCATATTATATCAAGTTCATGATCCCCCCCCCCTTATTTCAAGTCTATGAAGTCTATAAGTTAATTAATATATTTATAAAAACTTTTGGGTTGGGCTAAAAGTTTTCTTAGATGGGTAATTTAGGCTACGTTTGATGTTTAGAACAACAAAGCCAATGAATTTTACATTATTTCCTACGTCTCATTTAAGTACGTAAACGAACAGTTCTACGAAAGTTCATTTATGTTTACGTTCGTTATTTGTTAAAAGAATAAACATAGACAAGATTTTATATTTGTTTAATTAAATGAGTGAATATGAATAAGGAGTTCGTTCGTTCATTTATGTCCGTGAACATCCGGTAATTCGTTCGTCTATTTATGTTGGTTTATTTATATTAGTTCGTTTATGTTCGTTCATTTATATTCAACAGAATCTATAAATCCGTTTAAAATATTAAAACCTAGCAAATTTTAACTTTAAATCTGTTAATATTTTAAAATATAATTAATTTTAAACCTAAATAAAAAATACCCAAATCAATTAAAGAAAATATATCATAAAATCATTTGAAAGGAAAGAACCCTTTTTAGAGATAAACCTGATTAATTTTATGTTCGTTCGTTTATGTTTGTTTACATTTGTTTATGTTCATTCGTTTTTGTTCATTTACGTTCATTCATTTGTGTTCGTTTATCACTTTAACGAGCAAACATGAACGAACACAAACAAGCTACATTACTTAATGAACGAACACGAAAAATAATTTTCGTTCATTTAGTTGTTCGTGCTAGTTCCTTTGTTCAGCTAAAGTTAAATGAACGAACACGAATACACTCTATTCGTTTATGGGTCTAAAATCATTTCCTCATTTTCAACGATAGTTAATAAAATTATAAAACTAGCGGGCATAAAATTCTATATTATAAGTATATTTTTTAAAAAAATTGTATTAAAAATTTAAAGTGTATGCAATTATAGATTTTTAGAAAATATAAATTTGGATATCATTAAATATACAAAAAATGTATATAAAAATTTTAGGAAAATTTAATTTTTTTTAAATGATCACACTCAACACCTCTTGATCTATCTCTGAATACAACTTATAGGTCCACAGTGGACCGAATAATGAATACAAAGTTGGTCCACAGTGGACCGAATAATGAATACAAAGTTCAAAGAAAAACTTGAAGGAATCAACTTTGAATAAATTATAAGCCGCAAAAAGATGAGATGAGATAGATAAATAATCACGTGCGATAGCTTTAATATATCGTTAAAAATTAATATTACCATTTTGTTATTATTTTTTAAATAAAATTGGTAAAAATTTACCGAAAACATTGTTATTTCTACGGTTTTGTTATTTTTGGACGTTTTACCGGTTTTGGTAACATATCCGGTAAAGCGTTACTTAAAATATTATTTTTTTCTACCGGGTTTTCTACCGCGTATATCAGATAAACCGGCCGACAACACACGGCGATCTTCATCAGAAAGTGTTGGTCCGGGTTTATGGTGAAGGCGTGGAAGTGTTTTTCAATAGGGATGATGAGATTAGGACCTTTGAGTGCATGTCCAAGCATGGTCAAGGACCTAAGCTTCTTGGTCCATTTCGAGATGGAAGGATTGAGGAGTTCATTCATGCCAGGGTATGCCATATCTTCTCTTAATAAAATCTTTTTAATCATTTTAACGTCTAATATTTGGTGCCCTATGCTAATTGCTTCAGTTTCAAGCCAAAGCTTTCGGAACCTAACTTAATTTGATCTGTTTCTCTTTTCGATCTTTATCAGACACTATCCGCCGCAGACCTCCGTGACCCTGAAATATCTTCCCTTATAGCAGCTAAATTGAGCGAGTTCCACAATCTTGACATGCCTGGTCCCAACGATGTACTTTGGAAGCGATTGAGGTACTACTATGTACATTTAATATTAGTGCTTTTAGACTCATGAGTTGAGATATCTAAACCGCTTTTGTTCCTTGCCAGGATCTGGCTTGGTCAGGCAAAGAAATTGAGTTCCCCGGAAGCCGCAAAAGAATTCGGCTTGGATGCTTTGGGAGATGAAATCAGCACCCTGGAGAAAGAGTTATCACAGGGAGATCAGGAAATTGGGTTTTGTCACAATGATTTGCAATACGGTAACATAATGATGGATAAGAAACAAGAGCAATCATCCTAATCGTAAGTATCCGATTCGGTTCATATCTTTTGTGAATGCGACTTCTATACAGCACTTTCGGTTCTAGAGGTTATCATAGCATTCTTTTCGGTATCAACTTTCTTGCTGTTTGGCCTGTTGTCAAAGGGGTAACTGCTAAAGTTGCATTTGAATTGAGTTTATAGCCCACCACATTTATGTCTGTACATTCCATGGCAATGTTTCTGCTTTGATTTAATGACATCTCTGTACTGGTCGTACTGTATACTGATCAGCCAAGTTGAAATTGAGCAGTCTTCTTTGATTTCACATAATTTTAGCTTATCTTGTTTCACTTCCAAATTGTTAGTTAAAAAAGACATTTGCAGGATACATAAATGAATTTTCGCACCGACTATGTATGTTCTAAGGAATAATTTATTCCCTTCTTGTAGGACTATGAGTATTCAAGTTACAATCCTGTTGCTTATGATCTTGCAAATCACTTCTGTGAAATGGCAGCAAATTATCATTCTGACACGCCACATATTTTTGGACTACACCTTATACCCTGGTCAGTAACTGTTTCAATATAGAACCAACTCCAGTTCATTCATTGACTTCAAAACCATCCGGCGTTTTTGGGTCTAACCCTACCTCTTCCTTCTGCATTTTGTACAACAGATACAGAGGAGCGCCGAAGATTCATCCGTGCATATATAGCATCTGCAGGTTAATTATGTCAATCTCTGTGTGTGTCAAAGAGTATTAGGTACAATTACATATTGTATCTGGTTTTAACATACTTGAATGCAGGGAATGAATCCAGTGATGCTGAAGTAGAACAACTACTTGCTGATGCAGAGAAATACATTCTCGTGAATCATCTGTTCTGGGGCTTATGGGGAATTATCTCGGTAAGTTTTTCTGGCACCGTCTTTCATTTCTTTTAGATCATCTTACTCCAGGTTTGAGAGTTTCTTCGTGGACTAATTTCGGGGCAGGGCCGTGGCTGGGGGGCGCAAACTGCGCGACCGCGCAGGCCCCCCAAAAGATGGCCCCCAAAAAAAACATATATACAGTGGCGTTTTACCAATAAACGCCACTATAGATAGACCTATTGCGACGTTTTTTCAAAAAAACACCACTATTATTGCGGCTTTATTGATAAAACGTCATTATAGATGGATTTATTGCGGCGTTTGTCAAGAAAACGCCACTATTATTGCCCCGAAATCGAATATATCTAGAAAATAGGGACCCCTTTATACGAATTTGTACAGGCCCCCCGAAAACCCTGCCACGGCCCTGTTTCGGGGTTGTTGTGTGCACAGGGTCATGTGAACAAAATAGACAGAGGTTTAAGCAATACTGGTTGAAGAAAGCCCTTGCTCTCGAGTCCCTGAGTTTGTGAGGCCAGCCAAGGCATTGCCCCCACCCCATGATGACAAATAGCAGCTATAGATTTTCAAACTATACGTAGAATAAACCTAGCTTGCTGACAAGTGCCTTACTAAATGGTGGTGAACACCTAACTTGGGATGGGGGCAATACCGGTTGAAGAAAGTCCTTGCTCTCGAGTCCCTGAGGCCAGCCAAGGCATATTGCGCCCATCCCATATTAACAAATAACACCTATAGATTTACAAACTATACATAGAATAAACCAAGCTTGTGTTGATAAATTTTTAATCTTCTGAGTTTTGGGTTTTCATTTGTTTCCTGAAAGTATATTGGTACCTTCGATTGGATCAAAGTAGAAATTAAGATACGTGGATTCAAATCACTTAATAACTTGAGTACTAAATGAATTTTATTTATGATTGATAGGCACCTTGTAACAGTATTGTCAAAGAAAGATACACAAGTAAAGATGGGTGCAAAACTTTCCCTAAGAAGTATGCCATGTTAATCGGATTTTTATCATATTTGTATATTATTAATATTAACAAACATATATATAAAGATGTAATGTATGTTGATATTAGTTTAATTATTTTTAGATATATTTATGTTCAATCTGTGTTCGTTTAAAATTTTAAAATCATACCTTTTTTCAAAAATAAAAATAAAAAATTAAGAATCATGTTAACTTATTTAAAAATATATGTGTTTGTTTGTTTGTTTAATGTTGATGAACATGTGTATTTGGTGTTTAATAACATGCTAAACAATAATGTTCAACACTTAAATAAATATGACTAAATGATAATGTTCATGAACATTAAACAAATATATTTAAAAATATATATTATGTTAACAACTAAAAAATCTATTTATAAATAACAAATAAATAGATAGTAAATGAATATATTTTTATTTTTTAATCTGATATTTAAATATAAATATTAACAATTATATTAAAAATAATTAAACATAAACACATTTCCGATCTCACCTTATAGTCTTTTTTTTAATCATAAATAATTGATGTTTGCCATACATGTATATTTTATTCAATGAATTTTGTCACACATAGAAATTATTTTTTATTAATATGAGGTAAATATAAGATAATATCTATTTAAAAGTAACTTTTAATTATTTGACATTTAACATTCACACTTTTAATACTTTTAGAACTCGAGATCTTTAAAAATAATAATTATTATTTTACACTGAATTTATTTACAACTAAAGTTGTTCCGTTCGTGTACATATATAAATTATAATTGGGCAAATAATATCTTATAATCCAAGTCAAACCCATTAGCCCAATATGTAACAACTCCGCATCGGTGAAATTAGCCCAATAAATTATATGGATTTTTTATTTAATCTAATATGATAAGTAAAAATTTATTTTGAGATCTATGATATTTTTTACAGTGACATAAAACTCGTCACGTAAGGTAAAGAATTTCAATAAAAATATTTTTTATTCTAATTTTTTATTTTGATGTGATAAATTTTAAGGTGACGAATTTAAATAAATATTTTTTATTGAAACTAATCTCGGTAAAAAAACAAAAAAAAAACCCTCATCACCCCCACTGTGTCATCCCAAACCCAGGCATCCGGTCGTCTTTGTCATCTCAAACACAAACCCTAGATCAGGGTTTAAAGATTTTCTTTTCGTCTAAAATTCCATCTCTTGATTCTTCTTCAATTACACATTTCATTTTAGCAAACAATATCTTCTCTTTTGGTTGAAAGGAAAGAAAAGCGACACACAGAAATGGCAGCCCAAACAGCAGCTACCACTTTCAATGGGAATTTAAAGGCTAGTTTTTTCTTCTTTTTTTTAGGATTTACCATTTCATATATTGGTTAATTCTTTCATTTTTAATCTAATAATCAATTATTTAGATTAAGTCTTGCGGTATAAATTACTTTTTTGACTGCAGTGCACACCAACTGTTTGTAATATTTACTTAGTTATCACTTATTTTGGAAACATGATGTGCTTTTCTATTTCGAGTTATGGTTTGCAAAAGTTCCGACTAAAGGACTTCGCTGTCATGTTTTCAACTTAAATAGAGTGTGCTTACTTGAGTAAATATGCTTCGAAGATAAAACATGAAAAATTGTTTCAGGATTTTATGTGATTTTGCAATGGTCCCATTAACTTGTCAACTATGCAAAAAGTTTTAGATGAATGAGTGGTTCTGTAATTTTGGGGATTTAGGTTCTCGAGTTTTTTACCTCATATCATGGAGTGTGGTTTAGTCTAATCCAGTAGTCGTTAACTTTTATATGATAAAAATATGTGACAATGTCCTTACAAATTTCTGTACTCCTACATTCTAGATTAAGATTTCTTATTGCAGTCAATGTAAATCAATATACTGCACCATATCTGTTACCTACACCTTTGATTTATAAATTTTGTTTTAACTTGCGCAGAAAGCACTTGCTGGTCTGAGGCGTATTAATCTAGAAGGTTTGAGATGGAGGGTTTTTGATGCTAAAGGCCAGGTATCTTAATCCTTGTCCACATTCTTTTAGAGATAATTAATCTAGAAGTCTTTCTTGTATCGCAAAGAAGAGCCCATAGTTTGTGAAACTTGTTTTCTGATAACCGGAGATGAGAGGTCTGGAAACCCTCCATCCCTGAACCTCTCTTGTGTGAAGTTATAATGATAAAACAAACTCCGGGTTTTCAATACAATTCCCATTTACATATTTTCATAGTACAGTTGAACCCCTTATTTTAACAGTTTTTTCCTGCTTGAGGTTGAAAGTAACTAAATGACTTGTGTATAAATTTTTACAGGTTCTTGGAAGATTAGCTTCTCAAATTTCTACTGTAATTCAGGGAAAGGACAAACCTACTTATGCCCCAAATCGTGATGATGGGGATATGTGCATTGTGATCAATGCGAAGGATGTATGTGTTACAGGGAGAAAACTTACAGACAAGGTTTATTACTGGCATACAGGGCAAGTAATACTGTTCTAAGTTGTTGTTTCTTTTAATGGTTTGAAGTTTGATTGTATAGTGCAATTACTTGGAAATTAGTGACCTTCTTGAGTTTAAGATTGGTATTATGAAGTGCAGATATCAAAACATGCGTACTTATTGAGCTTGTCTTTAAAATAGGAAAATTTAGCTTTCTTGCTCTGGTTCTTTAGATTGTATGCTTCAGTTAGTGATGTTCTAATATACTTCTATTAATGAATCATACTTCTCCTCCAGCTATATCGGCCACCTTAAAGAAAGAACTTTAAAGGACCAGATGGCAAAGGATCCTACAGAAGTCATATGCAAAGCTGTGCTACGCATGCTTCCTAGAAACAAACTGCGGGATGTAAGTAGTTTGAACCTGATTAGACTATGACCTGTGTTTAGCTACAGATAAGCTATGTTATACATGGTTCCTAGAGACAAACTTTATCTTTGTGATGTTCAGATTCTCATGTTAATTCAGTTAGTCCATTTGAAAAAGAAAAAAAAGAACACTTTGGCTTTGTTTGGATTTCTGATTGCTGCTTATGGATGCAGGATAGAGATCGGAAATTGAGGATATTTGCTGATAGTGAGCACCCCTTTGGTGATAGGCCCATTGAACCATATGTGATGCCTCTCCGAAAAGTACGAGAAATGAGACCTCGTGCAAGAAGAGCCTTGATTCGAGCTCAAAAGAAAGCTGAAGAGCAAGAGCGAGGTGGCAGCCAAAGAAAAGGCAGGAAGAAGGAAGCCAAAACAGAAGTAGTAGCATGAAGGGTGATTGATCTCATCCCCTCTCCAGACATCCAGTGTTTTTCCTGTTCAGTGAGGAAGAACACGAACTGGAGATTTCATTAGAATAATATGTCTTTGCTTACAGGTTTGCAATGTTTCTTTCTTGCCCAAACATAGCAATTATAGTTTTGCTCTTTGAGGTACTAATATTCAGGCGCAGCAAAAGACTTGGGTTTTGTTTGCATTCGTTGGCAGCCCACAATCCCTGTAATCCGAACTCCTCTAAATGTGTGTTAAACTATTTCTTTGCTGTTAGTACTACTCACTAAGCGTATGATTTGAAGGTTATATCATGTTTTACATACTATTTGTTTTGATATCCACTGCACTGGCATGCGTGATTTTGGAACTTGGCATCATTTTGGTTAAAAACATCCGTGATGTTTGACCTGTCGGCTAAAATGAATGTCTTAATTGTTGGGTTAAAAACATTTTCATGCATCATTTTTTGTAATCTCACATTATTACCGATAATGTATTTTTTTTGGAAAGGATTTCTAAATTTGATTTGAAAGGAAAAAGGCAATAACTTTGCCATTAAAGTTTACACTCCTTAAGCAGGAAATATGACAACTAAAATCATACAAAAATAGCCAACACCAGAAAACAGAACAAAGCACCAGTTTCTCTCTCGTGCTACTAGTCGAGAACGGAAATATTTGTTTGAATTTTCATGCAATTTTTTTGAATTGATTAATGGAAGATAAACACTACAATTCTCACATGGAATTCTACAAATTTCAGTTCTTGTTGTTCCTCCTTCGGTGAAAATAAAACTAGTGGCAAATAATGCTTCAATCAAGGGAATTTTTTTTATAGAAAGTGGAGACCTCATTAAAAACCCCTTTCATCATTAAGGAACATCAATCGTTTTTCCTTAATCAGCGGAAGGAAGAAAAGAGTGTCTCGAAATTCATTAATAAGTAAAAGATTACATAATGTTTAAAACAACCAATCCCCTTACAAAAACAACCCGAAACACTCCAAACAACACAACTTACACTCAACTAAAAACATCTTAAACCCAACAAAACAATAACTACTCAATCAAGGGAATTTAGAATACAATGTACTCAAAAAATGGATAAGAATCATTGGGACCAGAATAAAAGGCACATCGAGCAACCAAGAACAAAGAGACACATCGAACAATCAAAAATAAAAAAGAATTTGGCTGGTAATCAACATGCACAACCTCCTCTTTGTTCGGTCTCTGTCACAGCCTCTGGGATGCCCTGGAAATATCTGCGATCATACGAAAATGAGAAGTCGGTTAAAAAGAGAATCATAAATTGCATAGCCTCCTCTTCAACCTTAAAATGTTAAAACCTTACACAAGAAATAGGTAGACACATAGACCCAGTACTTTTTAAGGTGAAAGTGGAAGAAACTGTTCATTCTGCATAATTCTAGAAACATCATACACCCGGTATTTTTTTTAATGTTAGAGAAAGATGATGTTTCTGAGGAATATGTCATTAACGTAATCCAAACTATACTCCAGTATAAATGCAAAACAAGATTATTATTATCTCAAAATCTGCGGCAATTGATGAACTGATGCGTTACCATTTCAGAACAATACTAATGTAATTGGCAAAATTCGATATTCACTCCAACCACGGAATATAGTTCAAGATAAACTTACATGTCCTGCTCCCGCTCATTTGCTAGAGCCGTTTTGGCAATACAAAGGAATGCAGCATCAACATTGATATCTTCTTTTGCTGATGTTTCAAAGTAAGGCATGTTTCCTTTGGAAGCACACCAGTCTTCTGCTTTCTTCTCAGAGACCTACATGACTCAAAACATCACCTTTTAGGCCGAGGTGTGAGGACAAAAGAAAACTAGGAAGTGTATATATCATATAACCTTACCACTCGACTATTACCACCATCTATATCTATCTTGTTTCCAAGCAACGTGAAGGGAAACATCCTGGGGTCAGTTGGATTTGCCTGACATTGAAAATGAAAACAGAAACCATATCAATTCAAAACAGATGGTGATCACTTTTTCAAAGAAATTAATATACAGTTTAGAGGAATGAGAACCATAAAAATAAGAGTAAGCAGCTTCAGACATTATAAATTGGCTGCTAGGAAAGATTATGCACATTGGAAGGTCAACAGGTCACACGTTTCGTAACCCATTTCTAACTAGACAAGGATTATGTGATGCAATCATGCAACTAGGCATGAAAAAAGATCACACTACATGATAGTGCATTCCTTAAATGTGTTGTTACATTACTCATAACTACTGAGAAGCTCTTTTTTGATCTGTTTACTCAAACCCATATCGCTCTCCTTTAAAGCAGCTTTGGCTAGATAAATACGGGAATGCTTGGGAAAATGCAACGATGAACAAAAGAACAGCAGATGGGCAAAAAAGTAGACAAAAATCAGGAGATCAGTATGCACATTTGAGGTTATATCATTCACTCTAGTGGCCAAATGTAATTGTTCAAAATATTTCAAAATAAATTTGTAATACTGCATGTTTAATTCCTGTGAGCAATGTGAACAAAATGAATGACCATATTATGGTCATGTATTTAAGATCGATAGTTCAGCTCATCAAAGCAAGGCTGATATCTCTCAGTCCATCAAAAGGGAAACTAAAATCTTATGATTTGTCATAGAGAGATCAAGATTTCATTATGATTTGTCATAGAGAGATCAAGATTTCATTATGATTTGTCATAGAGAGATCAAGATTTCATTAGGGTTTTGATAGAGACATTCTGCTTAGGGTTTATTATTCCATACATCCCTTTAAATAAGGTCCAATCTTAGTTAGGCTGACTAATGTACTAGAACTTCTGCAACCATTTGTCACTCCACTGTCAATATCATAAGCACTTGAAAGCAGACATTCCTAACCAGAAGTATCCCATGCGTTTCTTCTTCCATTAAACACAAAGGAAACAAAACTTTGGTCAAGGTCACTGTCACTCAATAAAACACCAACTTGCAAGAAGATTTACATAATGTAATTCATGTGAAGTGTGCCTCAATTAAGTAGCCATTAACTTTTTCTATGAAATAATTTTATCAAAAAATTATCTTCGTTATAACAGATTGACTTGAAACTTGTTGATTGGGAAAGTTACCTAAAACGGCTTCAAACCCTAACTGAATTCACCAGCCATGCATATCACAAACTTAAGGAAGATTGGTAAACATCGGTGTTTTCCAGGTGCAGCGCTAGACAACAACAGTGTCTCACCATTTTTGGAGGCACATTTGATAAAGTATATGCTTGGTTCCACATGTATTTGTAAGGCAATAGTTTCCAAAAAACGCTACTTCACTCTGAAGCTTTTGCATTTCTTTTATTTTTCTTTTTTTTTTTTCATTATTTGTAACCTTTAATACTAAAAAAGGTACAACATCGATTATAAAACCGGCCAATTTCTTAAGTCTATCAATTCAAAAAAAATAATGATGTGGCTGTAAAGCTCCTCCAATCCACCTTTTATACACAATTTGCAAGTCCAACATCATGAAAGAGGTTTTCTTCCTCACATAAGCAGATTCATGGCAAAGACTACCTTTTGGTATGTCAAATAGGCTGTTGGCATCTTCTGGAATCTCCACCAGGGTTCCCACCAGTTCCTATCACAGCCTAACATTAATGGCAGTATGGCACACAACAATCAACCACACATCATAACGCAGCCAATTCTGTTTCTTGACCCTGATTTCCTCTCCCTCTAACTCTACTGCATTCTATTGTGGCTGAAAAGTAAACCCTACTATGAACTCTATGATTGAGTTGGCCTTTGATACTAAAATTGGTCTGGCCAACAAATTAAGAGAACTTAGGCTGAAAGCGAGTAAGATAGAAGTTGGAACTCAAGAAAAATATAGAGTTATAAAAACTCTAGTTGTGAAGTCCAGAAAAAAAAATCATAGGAAATAACAATGCGGCGTTAAAACTATTTTCCAGCTTATTTATATAGGGCTACAAATAAATCCTAAAGATCAACTTATATTCCTAACCGTTTGTCTATATCTAGTAATTAATAAATACGACTAAACTAATAAAATAACATAGCACTAAAATAGCATAATAATAGTATCTCCTATGTAAATTTAATAATAGCCAAAAAAAATAAGAGAAGTTTTGCATAGTGGACTACTCTTTTGAGTTTATCAATAGAAGTATATATATATTAAGCTTAGTTTGTATGTATTGACATACACAAACAGGTATATATTGTGCTTTACTTCATTTAGGTCATTAGGTGAACACTATTTTGCGCCAATGCAAGGGATCTAGCGCATCAAATACATGTTGCAACCTTGACAATTCTTTCTAGGCTCTCAAGATATATATGACTAGACAACAGATGTTATCTCAAACTTTACCCTTCCATTAGTCTAGTGCAAATCATTTAAGTAGGCCACTGTTAACATGAGCACATAAAATTGAAGAAGTTATTCCAATAAAGTAAATGAGAGAATTCAAACTCGAACACAATTTTAGTTTTGAATAAACAAAAACCTAGCAGACAAGAATATGTGGTATCGATTTGAACAGCGCAAGTGCATATCGTGGAGGCAGAGAGGCGAGAGTGTTTAAAAGAAAATAAATAGAAGGAAATAAAAAAAACTTTTTGATGGATTATCTATAACTAGCAACAATGTAGGATGAATTGCATTTCCATATTCGGCAAGGTTGGGAAGGTTTTAAGGTTAGTTGTAGACTAAGTTTAATATATAATGCATTGCTAGCCAACATCCCTTGACAAAAAGAATATATTTCTACTAAGAAGATTTATCACGGCAGGGGTAAATAAAAGTAGTTTAACATACATAAAATAATATTTTTGACAATTTTACGACTAAGCTGAAGTTATAGTGGCATAAAAACAACTGGTTTATCATGGCAGGGGTAAATAAAAGTAGTTTAACATACATAACATATTGTTTTTGACACTTTTACAACTAAGCTGAAGTTATAGTGGCATAAAAACAACGTAAAGTGGAACATATCATTCAATAGGACAAACAAAACATAGTTC